TCCCTACACTGAAAAATAATTTCCAAGTCAAAAGCCGTATTTATTATAGAAATCTAATATTTTATTGTATTTCAATTTACATTAAAGTAGAGTAATATTTTTGAACCCCATGTACTCATCATCCTGCTTCATCGACTTTCAGCCTTTGCCAGTAACGTGAAGATGCCTGTACCCGAGATGACTCGTGTAGAGGCTGGCTGACTACTGTACAGGGAGTTGGTTCATCAGAATGGGACTTTGAACGCAAAAGTCCTTTAAGGACCCTTCCAGTTCTGAGATTCTGCAATGTAATAAATGTCTTCAAAATAGGATCTTTAGATAATACACAAAATTGAAGTGTTGGAATGCTGTAGAAGCCACACTCTCTCTCCAGTTCCAGGAGACCATCCTGAATAAGAGAGTCCTTGTTCAGAGGGGTTTGAAATTCTCCTGTGCTGCTACTGAGTCTTTCCTTTCTCCTTTTATGTTCTGGTGGAAGGGAATTTTCAGTCGTGTTGATATTCCTGACTTCTTTGTCTCTTGGCTTGTTGTGGTTTTCAAAGGAATGTGAGCTATGTTAATAGGAACACCTAGATTTGGCAAGATCAGTCCAGAGAGAACTGGTTTTGAGAACCAGCGAAGGCAGCAAAAGTGTAATTTGGAAATTATTTCAGTACAGAAATAGTCCTTTTCTGCTCTCTGGGCAAAGTTGAGCGTAATGCACCGGGAGTTGTGGAGTGGGTGGGCCTGGGTTGGCATTTCAGCTCTGCATCTTGCTAGCAGTTCTTTAAACTGAATGAGCTTGACTTTATGGAAAACTTACTGCATTCACTTTTCTCCTCCTGCCACTGTTGTGTGAAAACTAATTAGAGGCTGCTCCCGGGGCCGTGGCCTCACATCTCACTCCCTTTTGTCCTTTATTACACCGCTCTGGTGAAACCCCGGACTTTTTTTTTTTATGTTCGTCCGACTGCTTTCTCTTGGCCTGGCTCAGGTGCCCACCCCAGAGAGAGTCTCGCACCCCAGCAGACAGGCACCCCGCTTGATCAAACCCCCAACTGAGTTCACAACACGGGCATCCCTGTGCCACAGCAGCCACTTCAGCGCATTTTCTCCCCTGAGGCCCCCTTTCCTCTCACATGATGACCGCTTCCTACTTCACAGTGAAAATAACAGCTGTCTCACTTCTGTGCTAGATCCCTTCCCTTCTCGGCATCCCAGGAACCTCAAGTTATTTATGCAAGTACCCACTTTCCTGGTGGGTCTTTCCAGGATCACCTGCCAGCATTCAAACACGCTCCAGCCTCTGCACTGTTTAAGAGATGCCTGGACTCCCTCTAGCTCACGGTTTCTCCGTTGACGTTTGGAACTAGATAACTCTTGTGGGAGGGCCGTCCTGTACATTGCAGGCTGTTGAGCAGCATCCCTGGCCTTCACCCAGTAGATATGCCAGGGGCACCTTCTGAGTTGTGAAAACCAAAAAATGTTCCCAGATGTTGCCATGTCCCTGGGGAGCAGAATCGCCCCCGACTGAGGAGCTGCTCTAGCTGACGTCCTCCCTCTCCTCCCAGTCACAGAGCCGTCTCCTCTGTCTCTTCTTTTTGGAAGCTTCCTCTTCCCTCGGGTCCATGAACCTGGCTTTCTCCTACCTCTGAGGCCTCCCTCTGTCTCTCTTGCGGCTCCTTCCCAGCCGCTGACCTAGGCAGTCCTCGGCTTATTCCCATGCCTCCTCTTCTTTCTAAGCCAACTGTCGGGTCAGCGGATGCACACCCACAGCTTAGCTGGACATTCAATTTAGCCACCTCTCTTTCAACCAGAAAGTTCTCCCGAGAGAACTTTCTAGGCCCTTCAGCCTCTCAGTGTTTCCCAAACTGACCTTGACTCTCCCACAAGCTGACTGCTTATTTCCCAGGGTCCGCATCTTAGCAGATGGCACACTGTCCACTCAGTGGCTCCAGTCGGAAGCCTAAGCATGACCTTTGACGTGTGTCCCTGACCCTTGTCCTTCTGGTTGCTTCCATCCTTTTTCCTCCATCTCCCCTGCCACCATCTTAGACCAGGCCACATCGTCTTCTGCCTGCCCTGTTGCTTTAGGCTCTTAACTGGCCAGCCATGCTCCCTCCAGCCCATTCTCCCAACTGCGGGCAAAGGACTCTCTCTTTAACATACCAGATGTACCCTGTCACTCACCTGCTTTAAAAGCCTTCACTTTCTGGGCCCCGTTTGCTTTAGGATGTCTTTCCTGGCCTGATATACTCGGCGTGAGATGCTCTTTGGGTCCCCATAGCAATCAGGCAGACCTGCAACGTGGGTTTCCACACTGCACTGGGGTTGGAACTTTCTGGTGCAGTAGGTCCTTATGGTTCTTGGAGGCAAGGACCCTATTGTATTCCCAGATGTAGCCAGAGTCAGTGTTTGTTGAGTGAATGAATGAGTAGATCTAGGGATTGGGGGAGAATGCAGATCAACATAGACATTCATTCATTCAGCAAATATTTATTGAGTGCCGACCATGGGCCAAGCACCAGTGATAGAAGGAAGCAGGGACACGGTGGTGGCTGGCATGCTGAGAATGTTTGATGTGCTGGCCTCGAGATTCAGAGTGTTTCTGGCCAGCCAGGCCCCCCTGTGGGAGACATGCATTTGTTGATGCCTGTTCCATCCACAGTCACTACCTGGCCTTACTGTGCAGCCCTGCCCTGCTCTCTGTCCTGGTGTCTAGCCCCTCCTCGGATGACATATGGCCCACGTGGGACCGTGAGCCAGCCTCTACCTTGCTGCATTACGTCATGCCGGCCACTTGGTCCCCCGACTCCAGCCTACATGCTCAGCTTCTGTCTCATTGCTTTGCACCTCTGGTCAGGATAAAGCCCATACCCTGGCCTGCAACTCCCAAGTCTCCTTGAGACCCTGTCCCCCTCTTCCCCAGCCACTGCACCCCCCCATTCACCCTCCTCTTGGGCTAGACTGAGCTGCTTGTCATTTCCCAGACACACCCTGCTGTCACACTCCTGTGATTTCTCCAGTACTCTTCCCGCTGTAGGGATGCCCTTCCACACCTACCCAGCTGACCACATTTTTCTTAATGCGAATCACCTTTGTTCCTTTTAGAAAAAAATTTAACATGAGACAAACAGGAAGAAAAGTTTAAGTTACCCATAATCCCACAACTGTTAGCTTTTTGGTTCATGTCCGTCCAGACTGTTTTCTTTACATATTTATGGTTGTGAGCAGTCATGTGCTTTTACAAAAATGGGCTCACACCTCCCAAGCTGTGTGGGGAACTTTTCTTCCTGTATCTGTGAACATTTTTCCCTGTCACTGAACATAGCTGTCTCATGGTCACAGGGGTTGCATGGTATTCTATTGCATGCAGGTTCTGAGTTTACAACAGGTTGTAACTGTTTTTCCATAGTTACAAGCCCGGTTGAGATAAATATCCTGGCACAAATCTTTGCTGACTGGGTATTTCTGTAGGAAGTCTTCCTAGAAATGAACCGCAGAGGGGAGAGAGTGTAGTTTCTAAAAGCTCTTGACCCTTATTGCCAACTGGCCCTCCAGGGGTCTGCGGTTCACCCTCTGCTCGGCCCTGCCATCCCCTAGGCCAGGCAGGGTTTCTCACCTCCTAAGTGAAAAATGACATCTGATCGTGGTGGCAGTTTGCATTTCTAGTAAAGTTCATCTGTTCTGGCTGTTTGTCCTCCTCTTTTGTAAAAGGACTCTTGTCCTTTGCCCGTCTTCTTTCCTTCGGGGACATTTGCTACTTCTTATTTATTGCCTAATTAATTCACTCATCCACCCCAAAGACCCAGTGTCTCTCCATCAGTGATGTCTTCCCTTGAGCCCCGTGGACCTTTAGAGAAAGGACTCACATTGCAGAGGAGGGCCTCGTCCACGGGGCACTCACCTTCCTCAGCTGTGCACCCCAGGTCAGTGTGAGGAACACTAAGGGATTAAAACATTACATCTGGCTGCTCTGGTTCACGAAAGCAAGGCGAAATGCCATGGAATCGTCTCTTAGTCTTAACCCTTGTCTAAAGAGAGAGAAAGATGTTTGGCAATGCAAGAGCACTGGCCCAGGGGTCACCCAGCAGAGCGCCCCTTGTGGAGACAGCCTTGCTTTCTCCAGGGCAGCGGCTCCCGGGTGCCGGCCCTTGACCAGCCGCAGCACCTGGGGACTGGGAGAAACGCCTTTCAGGCCCCAGTCAGACCCACTGAGTTGGCCAGTCTTGGTGTTTGAACCTTTCTGGAGGGAGGGCAACGCCGGTGCCGGGCATAGTCAGAACCACAGCTGAGAAGCAGTGCCCTTCCTACAGTGCAGGGAAGTGAGAGCTGGGGGGCGCTGGCCTCATACATCCCTAGACCAGGCCCAGGGTTTATTCATCTTCCGTCCCCGTCCTTTCCCTCATCTCCCGCCCCTCCGCCCTCCACCATATCTCCCATCCTGGGCTCTGGTTGCCCCCACTCCTGACCCTGGCAGGCCTTGCCCTCCTCAAGCCCCAGCAGCCTGTACAGGATCCACGCACTGACCAGGCTTGTGCCTGAGCACCACCCCCCTGCTCCCCGACCAGACCTTAGACCTCCCTCATTCAGGGCTGGTCTTCCATCGCCCCTAAAGCAGGAGGGGGCAGCAGCTGACCTGCCTTCAAGGCACTGACTGCAGTGAGCCCGCTGCCTCTAGGGGGCAGGATCATCTATAAGGGGCTTGGAAGTGTGGATCCCAACGCCTGCCCGACGTCCTGGGTCCTGGGCTGAGGAGGGCCCTGGGGGGCTGCATCGTTACCCCGCGTGGCTTGTGGCCCCTATTAGAGAAACAGTAACTTGGGAAGTGAGGGCCTTCCCCCAGGCACCTGCTCTGAGCACAGCCCATTAAGTGGGGGCTCTTCTGCATAACCACGGGGAGCCCCACTCCTGTCGTGCACTTCCAGCGACAGTTCTCAACCTGGGCTCTGAGTTGGAATCATTGGGGAGCTTTACAAACAACTGAAACTGTCTCCACTCCTGCCTCGCCCACCCCCATTCTGATGTCATTGGTCGGGACGTGGCCTGGGCAGTGACAGTTTTTAGCAGCCGCCCTGGTGATTCTAACAAGCGGCTAGAATTGAGAGCAGTTGGTTTATAGTGAAGGAAAGGGTGGAGGTGGGCACTCAGCACTGTGTGTTAACGCTTTAGTCACCGGCCTCATCCAGTGGACGAAACCAGGGGCTCCCCTTCATTCCTCACCCGCCTTCCCTCTTGGCGCACACAGCTGCCCACCACAGAGAGTAGAACACTCCAACCCTCCCGGGGACCCACAGCCCCTCTCCTGCTGTGCCGTGTCCCTCCTGTGTATCCAGTTGGTGGTGACTCCTGCCACTTCTGAACAGTTCCCCAAGAGGGAGTGGGGACACCCTGCTTGTAAGCCTGGACTTCTTTGGGAAGAACTCAGGTTTGCACCTGCCTTACGATTCCCCCAGGTTTCGGCTAATGAGGTTGTTGCCGAGGGAGCTGCTGCCAGGGGGGCTCTGCATACCTGGCCAGGGCTGTGAAGGTGGGGCCCCCGGCTTCTCCCGGTGCTTCCTTCCTCCTCCCCGAGCTGGGCGGCAGGTTTGGGAAAGTGAGGGCAACCGACACTGGGTGGCGCCAGAGCCCAGCAGGCCTTCCCACTCTGGGTGTGGAAGTGGTGGAAAACAGCCTGGACACTGACAGCTGATCGTAGTCAGGTTCTCCCCACCAGCCTGTCCTGTGTGCTGCTGTGACTGTCCTCCTCCTCACCGCCCCCACGCAGTCCCCCGCGGAGCCACACAGAGCGGCCGGCACCAGTGGGACGGCTCCTTGTCACTGCTTTGATGATGGGTTCCCTAGGATGCCCTTAGTAACACAGTGTTTCTCTTTAAATAAACTTTTTTTTAAAAAGTAACATTTTGTAAATTTGTTCCTTGCAGAAAATGTACAGGTTTGCCAAGGGAGGGTAACAGATAAACCATCAATATAGATTGTAACCATCGATCTCTAACTCCCACCTTCCCAGAGGCCTTGGATCTTAGCGTTCTCTCTCGGTCTTGTCTCTGCTCTTGTCCTTTTGAGCCCAGTCAGACATAGTCCTGTTCATCCTCCCCATCTCTCTGTCTTGCTCACTCACTGGCTCTCAGTGGCTCACCCATGTCCCTGTGTTCTCCCACACAGGACACAGCTTGGGCTATGGCTTTGTGAACTACGTGACTGCAAAGGATGCAGAGAGAGCGATAAACACACTGAACGGCCTGCGGCTCCAGTCAAAAACCATTAAGGTAAGGACCTGCAATCACCATCTCGTTCATTCCTGGCTGCACAGAGGTCTGGCCTGGGTGAGAGACCCCCCCCCCCCCAACCCTTACTTCACCATCACCGTCACCGCACCATTAGCACAGTTGCGCCTTAGAGGCCTGCCGCTTTTCCAGGGCATCTGGGGGACCTCCTGTCTGCTCAGAAGAGAGGCATTGCGTGTCAGATGTGTGTCGGGTGGTGACCGTCCCAGGCCTTGTGCCTCTGGCTCATGTCCTCCTCAGCCCCACCAGCAACGGGACGGTCCCCGTGAAGGACTTAGGCTGGGACATCCCTCTCCCTGGCCCCGGGTGTCCCTCGTACGTTGGCTCACAGCAGCCTCCTCCGAAGGCCTCCCCACCGGTCTCTTCTACTGGCCAAGGTACTCCCGTCCTCTTGCAGCTCCCTCTTGCCCTCCTGCTTGCGCCCGGTTGTTGCTGTGGCGGCGGCGGCGGCGGCGGCGGCAGCAGCATCGTCCCTCCCGCCTCCTGCCCAGGCTTCCCTTCCTGCTCCGTCACTGGTGTAATCCTTCTCCCACCAGTCATTCAGCATTCATTTGGCAAATGTTTATGAGTGCCTACTATGTGCCATGCGGTGAACAAAACAAATTCCATGCCCTTGTGGGGCTGGGCCTCTGTGTGTGTGCGTGCGTGCGTGTGCACAAACGATAAACAAAACAATGAAAGCCAGGTGTGGCAAAGGTAGGCGTCCCAGGGGCACCGTGTCCTGGGGGGGTGGTTCATGATGACTTGAGGTGACTTGAGGGGAGTGAGGGAGCCATGCAGCACCAGCTGGGAGGGCCTTGGGCAGACCGTCATCAGCGTCATTCCCAGTTCAAGGGCTGTGTGGCAGCTTCCTGGGACAAGTCAGCGAGTCCTCCAGGCCTCAGGGTGGCTTCCCCAACCTTGACGCTCCTCTCAACCTGCCACTGCTAACCACGCCCTCCTTCTCTCAGCTCGGAGCCCCACCTCCTCCCCACCCCAAGTGTCTGTCTTCAGGCTCTGCCTACCCCTGGACCAACCTTGGGTTTTCCCGACCATCGGTCCCTGCCGAGCCCTCCTGTAGAATATGCCTCCTACGCCCGCCCCACGCAGGACCTTGACCCGGCTTCCTGCAGCAGCCTCTCAGCACTGTGCCCACTGCCCCTCACCTGCAGACTGGCGAGTCAGCCCTCATTCCTGAGACATACGCCTGCCAGAGTCACCAGAGTTGTGTCCCTCGACCCGAAGCCACTGGAATGAGATCATCCTGTTGAGCTTGCATCTTCCTAGTCCTGAGGGCCGGAAGTCCAAGATCCGGGTGTTGGCAGGTTGCATGCCTTCGGAGGTCTGTGGGCTGTGAAGGAGGATCTGTTTCGTGCCCCTCTTCCGGCGCCTGGTGGTCACTGAGTCTTGGGCAATCCTCAGCTTATAGAAGCATCACCCCAGTCTCTGCCTTCATCTTCACACGGGGTTCTCCCTGAGTGCATGTCTGTGTCCAAACTTCCCCTTTTTATAAGGACCTCAGTCATTGATTTGGGGCCATCTTATTCCGCTTTGGCCTCATCTTCACTAATGGCATCTATAATGATCCTGTTTCAAATGAGGTTACATTTTGAGGTACTGAGGGTTAGTACTCCAACATGTGAATTTGTGGGGGAACGTAATTCAAAAATTCCTTGTTCTTCAAAAACCTCTCACAGGAATATTTCCTAAGAATAGGACAGTAGGGCTTCCCTGGTGGTGCAGTGGTTGAGAGTCCGCCTGCTGCTGCAGGGGACACGAGTTCTTGCCCCAGTCCGGGAGGATCTCACATGCCGCGGAGCGGCTAGGCCCGTGGGCCGTGGCCGCTGAGCCTGCGTGTCCGGAGCCTGTGCTCCACAATGGGAGAGGCCACAGCAGTGAGAGGCCCACGTACT